GCATGTGCGCGAGCGGTGCGATAGCGCCGCCGACCGCAGCGAACTGTGCTATCGCTGCGATAACCCCGGCCACCGTGCCAAAGAGTGCCAAGGGGCGGCTCGCTGCCCGGTCTGCGCCGAGGCGGGCAGGCCCACCGATCACAAGATCGGAGGGCCTGCCTGCAAAGCTCCCTCCTCCAGAAAGAGGAGGGGAGTTAAGGCGAGGAACGAAAAGGAGGGAGAGCAGGGAAAAGGTAAGGCAGAGGAAATGCTGCCGACCGTGGTCGAGAGAGCTGAGGAAGGAGAGGCCCGAACCCCTCTGGAGGACCCCGTGGACCGGACGCTGTTGATGAAGGAGGCCAGTCCGGCCCCCTCTGCTACGAGGGAACAGGAGGATGCTCCGGGAGGGGAACAGGAGGAGAGGGACTCCTCCCTAATGTCGTGGGGACTTCCGGAGTGGACCTCGACACCTGTCCCGATGGAGATCGTGCCACAGGCCCAAAGGAAAAGGCGACGGGATGAGCGGAAGGATACAAACAGGATGGGACCAGCGGATCTTCCGAGGAGGTCCAGATGGCCAAGGTAAGGCGAGTGCAATCTGCGGACTCTCCCCCAGCTACCTTAGTACAAGGGGAGACAGAGGGTGATCTACCCCTGTCTCCCCTTGTGGTTGTAGACGATTCCCCCTCATACCCCCCAGAGGAAGGAGTGGTCCAGGCAGGGACTCCCGAAAGGCAATCACCCTCCGCACACGAGGAGGCACAGGAGTCATAGCCATCAAGGCCGAAGCCCCCTCTGGGGAGACTAAGGCGGCCCAGCCACAAGGGGTCTCCCAAGAGGGGGTAAAGGAGACAGCCCGGAGGAGGCGTGTAAGGCCTAGTTTTCACGCCACTCCGGGTGCTACAGGCTAACCTCGGCCGCCGCGCCCGGGCCCAGGACCTGTGGGTACACAGGATCCGGGAACTGGGCGCCGGGCTGGGGGTGGCCACCGAGCCGAACTGGGTGCCGATCAGCAGTGAATGCTGGTTCGGCAGCCCGGACGGCTCGGTGGCCATGGTGGCTGACCCTGCAGCGGGGACCCCTCCCTGTGTTTTAAGGGAAAAGGGGTCCTCGTATGTGGCGGTTGACTGGGGGCCTATAACTGTGGTGGGGATATATCTCCCCCACCACAAAAACAAAGCCGGACTTGGCGACCCCGCCCGCATTAAAGGGATCCTAGACAGGATCGGGGATTTGGTGCGCAAGTGCCATCCCCGACCTGTCGTGATTGCCTAGGACTTATCGCCTACTCTGAGGAGTGGGGTTGTAGTCCCCGGCAACGGGATCCCAGGGGCGAGGTCGTCATCGACTGGGCAGTGGGATTGGGCCTTCTGTTGTTAAACAGAGGGTCCACCGGCACCTATATAAGGCCGGGAGGGGGGTCATCGGTCATTGATTTGACATGGGCCTCCCTCTCGGCCGCTAGGATGGTCTCCGAATGGAGGGTGGAGGTGGAGGGAGAGACATTATCTGACCATAGATATATAGTCTGGGCCCTCCACCTCCCCAAACCAAAACAGGTATCGGCCCGCCGCCCTGGGGAGAGAAACTTTCCTCTCCCCAAAAGATGGGCCCTCGGTCGACTAGACGTGGACAGGTTCAGGGCTGCTGTCCTTGTGGCCACCTGGCACATAGAGCCAGGTGAGTGGAACCCAGGCCCCTTGGAAGGGGCCGGGGAGATAACGGAGATAGTGGCGTCGGCATGCGATGCCCCGTTCCCACCCCCGTCGGCGCCGGGCCGCGTATTGGTGGTCAGAGGAAATAGCGAGTCTTCACAGTGACTCTGGCCGCGCCAGAAGGGCGTATACGCGGGCCCGGCGACAAGACGGGGATGCCACAAGGGCAAAAGAGGACTACTTTGCCGCCAGGGTAATCCTCAAGAAAGCCATTAAAAAGGCCAAGCGGGAAGACGGGGAGTAATTGGTGAGCTCCCTGGATGATGATCCGTGGGGGCGCCCGTACAAAAGGACGATGGGGAAGATCCGTCCTTGGGCGCCCCCGCAAACGGAGAAGTTGGACCGCCAGGCCCTCGATGGGCTCCTGGACGCTCTCTTTCCGAGGGCGGAAGGGGGCCCTCCCGTGATCCCTTCCCCAGAAATGGGGGAGGGAGACTGGGACGAGGGCCTGGAGGTCACTCCAGAGGAGCTCGCCAAGGTTCGAAGAAAGCTCGGGGGTAAGGGCAAAGCCCCTGGCCCCGATGCGATTCCGGGCCGCGCCTGGGCTCTCACGTTGGCCGAAGGGGACCTGTCCACAACCACATGCAGGGTCATGACAGGATGCCTCAGGGAGGGGGTTTTCCCCCCAGAGTGGAGGAGGGCCAAATTTGCCTTCCTCCTGAAGGAGGGCAAGGAGCCCGGTAGTGCGTCAGCCTACAGGCCGATCTGCCTGCTGGACGAGGCGGGCAAGATGCTGGAGCGCATCATCGCTGACCGCCTCGTCCAGCACATGTCCTCGAGTAGGCTGGACATCCACGACTGCCAGTACGGGTTTAGGCTCGGACGATCCACGCTGGATGCAATCCAGTGGGTCCGAGATCTGACCCGGGCGGTCATGGAGATAAAGGGCGGGGTGTTGTTGGCGGTGTCGTTAGACATATCTAACGCCTTCAACACCCTGCCCTGGCCGGAGATAGGACGGGCCCTTGAGTTCTTCGGAGTGCCCGCCTATCTCCAGCGGATGATGTTCGCTTACTTCGGGGACAGAGACCTCGCCTTCACGAAAGAAGGCGGGATTCAAGGTTGGCGCACTATGGAGCGCGGTGTCCCGCAGGGGTCGGTGCTCGGCCCCCCGCTGTGGGACATCGGCTTTGACCGGGTTCTTCGCACTCCGCTCCCCGACGGCTGCCACGTCGTCTGCTACGCAGACGACACGTTAGTGGTGGCCGAAGGGGAGAACTGGGGGGAAGCTCGCTTCCGTGCGGAGGTGACAGTGGCATCGGTGGTGGGAACCATCGGAGTCCTGAGTCTCAAGGTGGCGCTCCAGAAGACTCAGGCTGTGTTCTTTCACGGCCGGGGTCGGGGGGCGCCGCTGGAGACCCGGGTCCTAGTCGATGGCGTCCACGTCCGCGTCGGGCCGACGATGAAATATCTCGGCCTGACGTTGGACAGCCGATGGTCATTTGGGCCTCACTTCAGGCAGCTGGCCCCCAGGGTGCATAAAGCCGGAATGGCTGTAGCCAGGCTGATGCGCGTCCAGGATGGCAGGCTCGCCGCCTGTATGTCGGTGCGGTTCTCTCGATCGCCTTGTCCAAGCCCCTCCCAAGAGGGCGGGGGTATCCATGATGGATTTCCCCTGCGTGAACAAAAAAAAAAAGGTTATAGTATGGAGTTTTAAAGTGGGTAATAGTAATTAGAATAAGGTAGAGAGTAGCGATAGTGAGGAGAGTAGAAGAAAACGAAATTGAAGTAGGAAGCCTAACCTGGATCCTTTAGCCAAAGGGATTCCCTACAGAATGCCGCGATCACGGAATAGGCCTCTGGAGTTGCCACGAAGTAATGTGCCGCCTCCGGCCATTTCCAGCTTCCGGCCGGAACGAATTGTCGCAGAGCTTCTCTCTGTGGCTCGAATTTCGGACATTCCATCAAGTGATACACCGCTGTGTCTTCGGCCTTTCCACACGCACACAGGCCACTTTCCACGAGCCCTAAGGACGCAAGGCGTCCCCGAAACTTGCCGTGTCCAGTGAGAACCTGGGTGACGTAGTGGTCCGGCTTCACCCAGCTGGCGTTCACCCTGTCTCGGACGTTGTTAAAGAAGGCGCTTGTTGTACGGCCTTTGCTCGAAGAAGAACATCGAGCTTGCGATATGTTTAGCGCCTCTTCCCTAATGAGACAATTGGTCTCTTTGATGCTCCCGGTGAACAGGATCACGACGTCCCCTATTTTGGTATCCATTTCTTTCCTAACTAAATATCGCGCCTTTCACTCGTTAAGAATGATATCAACTGGGACCGCACCCGCAGCAACACAAAGCGACTCCGTCGACGCTGTGCGGTATGCAGCAACCACCGACATGAGCACCCAGCGCTGCAGGGTTCGGAGATCCTTCAGAACGCCCTCTCCGCATCGGTCGATCCATCCGGCAGTGGCGTATGCCACCGTCGGAGTGAACACGCCCCGATAGATCGTCGAGAGCGCGCTAAAGCGCAGCCCCCATTGACATCCCGCAGCCCTAGCTAAATTGCTAAAAAGCGGTCCGACCTTATCGCGCAGGTATTTACAATGAGAGGAAACTTCCGTTTCTTTATCAAAATGAATGCCCAAATACCTAACTTTCTTTTTAAATTGAATTTTGTTTGGTCCTAATCGGATGGTCGGTAGTCTCGCTGCAAGGTTAGATTTCTTGACTCTAACTGCCTTTCGCTTTCGGTCCGGACGTGCTCCTCCCCTTCTGCCTATCGGGGCTCTTCTGATCAATTCACTCCTGAAGACCACCGCCTCAGTCTTACGTGAAGAGATCTGGAGTTTTGCCCTTTCGCACCATTTGTTGATTATATCAACAGTGCGCTGCCCCCGCTCTTCTATTTCGCAACGGGAGTTGCCTTCGACTGTGACCAGCAGATCGTCGGCATACGCGATAAATGACCTGCCTATCTCTTTGTCAAGTGCGCGGAGGAGGCCGTCGAACATGACTGTCCAGCAAGCTGGGGCTAATACTGAGCCTTGAAGGCAGCCTCTCTTTGCCTCTTTGGAGACGCAGATGTCTCCGAAAGAGATGCTAACTTTTCTATCGCTAAAATAGCTGCTCAGCACCTGAAAGATGTTGCGGGGGTAGTCCCACTCACTCCAGGCCTGCAGCACGAGAGGCCACTAGACGTTGTCAAAGGCGCCAGTTATGTCGAAGAGCAGCGCGACGACGTATCTTCTCTCTGAAGCGGAGACCATCCGACGCAACTCCATGATCGCGTCCTTCGTCGACTTTCCCGGCATGAAGCCGAACTGCCGATCGAAGAGCATCCCCGACGACAATGACGTCTGGGTGAGTCACTCCTTTAGGAGCTTCTCGAAGAGTTTCCCTATAACGGGGAGGAGGCATATGAGTCTATAGGATTTCGGGTCCTCCACATCCTTGTTCTTGTCCTTCAGAAAGACTCTAAGCGAGCCCTCCTTCCAGATCGAAGGAAAGACGCCTCACCGGAGACACCCGTTGAAGAGCCTAACTAACTGACCGGGTATTGGCCTTGAAGCTGCCCGCACAACTGCAACCTCTAAGAGGTCGAGGCCGGGCGCTTTATTAGACTTCAGAGATTTTGCAGCTTCGACGATTTCTGCCTCCTTGAAGAACGGGGCGTCGTTGGTGTCTGGTACGATACGTACACTTTCTCTTATTCCACGCTGCTCAGGCGTGTTCTCATTCTTCCGGTCTTCCGGGACGTGCACCTCCAGCAGGCGTCCGGCAGTTTCCTCTAGGGTGGCAGTCGAGGAGTTTTCAGTTCGAAGGCTGCTTAGTATTTTGTCCACCCGTAGCTTCTGAGCCGCGTGTTTGTACACGAAACCCCAGGGCTCCGAGTTTCCCAGCCAAATTCCTGCCAGCTCTTGCTCTTTGTCTTGCGCAACCTCACGCCGTACTTTCGCAAAGCTGCGCAGTACTCTTGGCGATTTACGAGGCGCGCTGACATATCGCTTTCCTGCTGGAGAGCCCGTCTTTTTCTATAGACGTCCTTCTTGAGGATCGTCAATTCCTTCGTCCACCACGGGTTGGACTTTCTAAAGCGCCTCTTTCTGGGCATGGCCTGTCCTGAGGCTTCTATGAAGACTTCTATGAGGACTTTAGCGAAGCTCTCCTCGTCCCGGGCAGACTCCAGGTCGAGAATCTCGAGTCTCGATCTAGATAGATCGGTTAGGCTCTCAGCGAAACTCTCCCAGTCGGCCCGACTTACGTCGAACCGAACAGTGGTCAGAGCGCGCTGGTCCTTGCCCCTGACCTTCGGCACCCTTAACCTGTCAAGGGAGTTGTGGTCACTCGTCGTCCAAGCTTCTCTGACCTTCCACTCGCCGACGAAGCGGCTCATGACAGGAGAAGCCAGGGTCACGTCAATGTATGACGAGCCCCATACTGTCCAAAAGGTAGGAGGCTCTCCTTGAGTATTAAGGATTTTCCAACCGCAAGCGCGGATGCACTCCTCGAGCTTCGTGCCTCGATTATCTAACTTGCGATCACCTCACATGGGGGATCTCGCATTGACATCCATGCCTACTATTATTCTCTGCCCCCTCAGAGAGTGAAATACCGTCTCGAGGTGTCTGAGGTGCCCCTTGATCTCTTCGCTGTACTAAAAGTAGCACGACACGGAATAGAACGAGAAGCCGGGTGCTCGTACTTCCACACACGCACAGTGTGGAGTGGTAAGCTGCGAGATTGTTAGCACTTGTAACTCTGAGTTACATTTTGCAACCGCCGCCCACGGGCGTTCCTTCCAGGTTGCTGCTGTACTGACACCTAACCCTAGCCCTTCACACGAGTAGACCTTGCCTCGCTTTCTGGTATTTGTTTCCTGCAATAGCAGGATATCCAGTTTTTTGCAGGCAATTAATCGACGGATCTCTCCTGTGACGGCCCTTGAACGCTTCATATTTTGTTGGAGAATCCTAACTCCCATGGTTTTTAACAACGCTGGTGCGGAGCTACCTCCGGTCTGTTCCAGGGGTATAGAATCTGGATTTACAGCATCTGTGTGGGTTTGGGACAATTTATTTCTTTTCTCGCGATTCGCGATTCCCGACGCGTGTCTACTGTCATCCAAATTGCTTTTATTGGTCTTACCTTGCATCGCTCGGTTCCGCTGTACCGACGCGAGCATATTATCGCACCTTTCTAATACCGTGCGGATAGTTGGAAGACTGCAGTTTCCTATTTTTGACTCTAATCTGCCTGGCTGCTTTCCTTCAGCACGCCCAGGCGTAGAATAGGGAACCTTAGAGGCCCGAAGATCCTTCCTTTTCCTTTTCTTTGTTTCTAAGTTTTTACCCATATTGTTCCCACGAGTGCGGTGGAAAGGAGGTCAAGTAACGCAGAGCCACCATTGCGCCACCAAGTCTAGGGTACCGCAGAGGGGTCGACAGGTACCTCTGGGGGAGTGCTTTAGACTGTGATTTTTAGCATCTCCACAGCCATTCAACCTTAGGCGCGTTTACTTCACCGTAGCTTGAGATATCGTTCGACCGCGGGTCAACCGTAGTCTTCCCGGGGGGTCGCTAGCGACTGTGCATGTTTACCGTCCCCACAGCCGTTCAGCCATTGGCGCGAACGGCCGAACGTTAGCATTGGGACACGTTCAAATTCACGAGTATAGGGATTTACCCGGCCCCAGCGTTGTACCTAGAGCGGTCTACAACGCTGTTTGCCTGTTTGAGTTTGGTATTTTCCCTGTCTCGATGATTCGTCTTTCCAAGTCGCTACTCCTGTTGGTTCGGTTTCCCAAGCCGAGACAATCAGGTTCGTTGCATCGCAATGGGAAGACTTGGATTTCGTTTCGCGACTCCCGTTTCAACAGAGCGTGAGCCTACCTTCGTCTACCCGGGCAGTGTCTCTATTAACGATTTCCTTGTTGGCTATTAGGGGGGCTCTCGTATGAGTCCCATGGATGTTCCGATACACCTGGCAGAGTCCATAACGTGACTTGGGGCCTCAGGACAATGCCCAGGTCGCCCCGTTCCATGTCACGCATGGCAATAGCGGTCAGTAGAAAGCTAGCCGAGACCAGTTATTCCCGGATTCGCTTTCTGCTTTGGTGAGTTTACTAACGTCCACAGCATCGTTTGCTATTTTGAACGCTTGGCTGCACGATCGTGTGTTGGGGTATTTTACTTTTAATCTTTCTCGATATGAGAGCCCCTACCATGTAGGATTTTCGCCTTTTTGGACTTCGCTCGATGCATACGTGCTGTACACTTGAAGATCTCAGCTCTCATCTCCGTTTTGTGCACTAGGTTACAATCAACGCACGTGTCCTTCGTCCTGGGACGTTGGTGTTTACACGCTTCGTCGTTTATTGCCATGCTTTTTGCTGAATTCTTCGAGGTCAGATGTATCATCTCCTACTCTGTTATTTAGCCCGAATGTAGACTTTCGCTTGCCGTGGAGACCATTCGTGTGATAGCTCCCTGCAAGCTCGTTCGAATATTTTTGGGTAGCATGCCTTTGGTTTAGAGTCAGAGTTTATTTTCTAAGTTCTTTTGCGGAGTGTTGCTTTTCATTTCGTACGGAGACTCTTTGATAGGAGTATTCCTGTTTTATATTAGCTATAATTGATATTGTATAATAATAATTATACGAATTTCGTATGGTATGGAAGGCAGGTACCGTTAAGTACCTCAATGGGGGCCATCGTGAAACGGCACTGTCCATGGCGCTCGAGCTAGGTTGCAGGCCGCCGTCCGCTTCCTTGGCTCTCGCGCCCTTCAGTTGTCTCTTACGCACACACAGAGGCTGGCTGCAGCCTTCCGAGAAAGGTGTCGGCGGCACCCCTTAGGTAGAGGCACACCACGACTCTTCAAGCCACGAACTTTAATTCCCTCCTCCATGTATGCGCATGCATACGCATGCCTAGAGACAACTGGCAGTGTGTCCGGCTACGAGCAAGCAAGCTCTTGCAGACCAGACCCCGCCTTCCTGTCTTTCTTCCTTGTATGCTATACAGGGTGCACGATTTATCTGAAGACATTGAAATATCTCGAGAACTATGCATTGGATAAAAAAAAGGTGGTTAATAAAAGTTGTTAGCCTCGAAGGGGAACATCCAATGATACCAAACTCGACCTCCCACCCCACCCCCTGGGGGTGGGGGTTGGGGGCAACTTTGAAATCTTAAATAGAAACCCCCATTTTTATTGCAGATACGGATTCTGCGCCACAAAATACGTAAATTTTGTCCGAAACTTTTTTTCGACTCGTGATAGATGGCGCTGTAATCGCAAAAAATTATATTTTCCGCAATTCTCTAGAAATGATCATTGGATTGAGAAATAAAAAATACCTGTTCAATATTTTTAAAGAACATAATAAAATTATTCCCCCCCATCCTCTCGGGGTAGGGTGGGTGATAACGTTCAAATCTCAAATGAGGACCCACATTTTTCATTGCAGAATTAGATTGTACGTGAACTTTTTATTGAAACAATTTTTTTCATTCGTGATAGATAGCGTTGAATTTTTCCGAGAAACTACTTTTAGCGTTACACAGGAACAACGACGAGGACGTAGTAGTTTTATGTTCCCTTCGGGTGCTTTTTTAATGTGAGTCCCCTTGCCTCTCACAGATCGGGGTGCTTTTTTAATGTGAGTCCGCTTGCCTCTCACTGTTCAATTAATTAGAGTAAGTGTTCGAAATTTTTACCTTCAACTTTAATACACTTATTGATCCTTTTTTCAAATGACTGTACACAGGATAGAAGCATATCTGCGGGAGTTTCAGCGCAAGCGTTTCTTATGCGTTCTACCATGTTCTCACGAGTTGTTGGCACTTGTTGATTTAAAAATATTGAACAGGTATTTTTTATTTCTCAATCCAATGATCATTTCTGGAGAATTGCGGAAAATATAATTTTTTGCGATTACAGCGCCATCTATCACGAATCAAAAAAAAGTTTCGGACAAAATTTACGTATTTTGTGGCGTAGAATCCGTATCTGCAATAAAAAATGGGAGTTTCCATTTAAGATTTCAAAGTTGCCCCCAACCCCCACTCCCAGGGGGTGGGGTGGGAGGTCGAGATTGGTATCATTGGATGTCCCCCTTCGAGACTAACAACTTTCATTAACCACTTTTTTTTATCCAATGCATCGTTCTCAAGATATTTCAATGTCTTCAGATAAATCGTGCACCCTGTATAATGAACTCAAATAGCATGAATCTTAACAGTGTAACATATAAAAGAAATTGTCAACATAAAATTATATCATTAACATTGACTTTGGCTTCAAAGTTGGTGTAACGTTTTTTATTTATTTATATCCAATATTTTTCATTAAGTATGATTTTCTAAGAAAAGCAACCTGATAGAAAATTGTTCTTTAACAACAATTAGTTATATCATAAGTTGAGATTAATTTTAATAAAAAATAGGAACAAATTGACAAGAAAAAATTGGTACCCAAAAGCTCAAGCAAATATCAATCCACATTTTAAGACTTGTATTAAAAATAGTTGCTTCAAATTCATTTCAAGCGAAATATTTAATTTTGAATTCAGAATACATTTAAATTTTTTACTTAAAATATAATCAATATCATCACTGTAATGTATATATTGTGTGATGCAGTTAAAATAATTTATATCTAACTGTAAATGTCTTGCAATGAGTTTCAAGTAACGAGTATTAAAACAGGTCTAATGATATAAAAATTAAATTTTACAGTACCAGAGTTTTGTCCCGATGGTCCACATCTAATTCGGTATTAATCTCGGTTGCTGATATACATAAGTTAAAAGGTAGAAACTCAACTCGCTTGGATTTAACTTTCTCATCCACTGCATCTTTAGTTTCTGTAGGAAGAGAAAATATTAACATATAACACTTACATAATTCCTTATTTTTCTTTACAAATTGAAATTATTTTCATAAAGGATGTTTTGCAGATAAACATGTAAGATGGAAATTGAGATCAAGCTAAAATGATAGGATAACGCAAACGCAAGTGATAGAACACAGTCACATACATTTGCCCTTCGTTGTGGAGCATACAACTGTGCAGCTTTTGTTTGTGTGCATTATTTTCTTATTTCAGTAATTTAGAAGCTTTGACTTTTTTAGCATCTCCTGAGCGTCTCTAGGTTAAATATAAGTTTTTTGGAGTTTGTGTAACGCCGGTGCCTCCAGGTTCGATTTTCTTTATCGATCCGACCCTGCGTTGCGACCGTTGGCAGCGAATCGCGCGCAGAAATTTTATTAGGAGAAGGTGATCTTGGTGAATAATTGAAGTCGGTCGGTGTTTGTAGACAGTGACGCTTTATTTTATTGCTTCAGCGTGTAATGACCGCGTATTATTGCGCGAGGTTCCCACTGTTTGGGTGCCGTCTCGACGCGCGGCTTTGTTTCTTCGCTTATGCTCGCCGTCTCTGGGAGCGGTCGTGTTTACGTGACGGTGGTTTTGTCTAATGCGTGATTCTCAACGTATCAGCAGTAATTATTTTAATACATAGGAGTTACAGGTAATGGACAAGAGAAAAAAAAAGAGAAATTCGCTGTC